AAAACAAGGGCCTACAAGCCCTGTGCCGTTTCAGCCCAAAAGCCTGAAAACGAGGGCCTACAGGCCCTGTGTCATTGCAGCCTAAAAGCCTGAAAGCGAGGGCCTACAGGCTCTGTGTTGTTTCAGCCTAAAAGCCTGAAAACGAGGGCCATTTTTAGGCCCTCATAAAGTCGACCTGCCCTGAAACTTAGGCACCAGACCAGGGTTTTAGCACAGGCCATTTTGGGCCTGTTTTCAAGACAACATTTGTTTGAACTTCAACGCCAGGGTCTGGCACATTTTGGCATTGGCAAGAGCAGCCTCCTGGACGAGCCAGCACTATATAAGACTGGCCCGCCCTACAGGCTGCAGGTAGTCAAGAGGAAGTTCATAGGGACTTCCCAGGCACTTCAAGTGCAGGAGGTAGGCCGCAGGAGGCAATCTTCAGGATTCGTTAGTAACACTCTGGAGGAGCGTTGCAGTAGTAGTAGTAGTGTTAGCAGTAGTCTTCAGCGCTGGGCACTATCAGGAGCTAGAGTAGCGTTGAAGAGAGAGAGATGGTTGGCGGAGGCCAGGGAGACTTACCTGTGGCGCCATAGCTCTTGCTTCGTCTTCGATGTACCTGCAACAAGGCGCCACCTTCGCAGGTTAGTACCGGACATATATATATATATATATATATATATATATATATATAGAGAGAGAGAGAGAGAGAGAGAGAGAGAGAGAGTTCTTCTTCTTCCTCTTCTATGTCCACCATCTCTCCCTCACCCTCTCGCTACCTAACTTCTCAGTATCTGCAGACTACGAGAGAGAGAGAGAGAGATTGGTGACTTTGGGACTTGATGACATTTGGATTCAGACTCGACATTGGGATTGAGACATTGGATGAGAGATTATTTGGGACCTGTACCGAGTACTTGGTGTTGACGATATCCAATCTTTCCCTCTTCTTTGTCTAACCTGCATGGGTCCTGGGGACCATCTCACGCAAGTGTGTACATGCCATGCATCGTACTCCCACACACAATGAACAGTAGTCTGACAATAGACAAAGATAGAGAAGATGAGGACCGAGTTTCACAGTTTATATTATCAGAAATATGAATAC